ATATACTATACTGCTGTCTCTGAGTTACTCTGTAAAGTGAAGCCATGAAACTGCCAAGAAACTCTTTCAAAATAATAATAATAATAGTGGTATCGATTAAAAATTAAAAAAGAAAGGAAAAATAAAAGCTCCCCTTTTCAGGCCTATCCCTTGTGTTTCATGTTTATTACATGGTAAATAAAAAGTTTTGGGAAGATTCTAAGAACTTGCACTTTTAACTATGTCATCTCAACATCCAAGGCATACTAACAAAACAGACATTACCCCTCCTTTTTTTATTTGCTTCTTCCTTGTTGTTTTCTGTGAAACGTGGATAATCCCAACAGTGGGTGGTGGACCAAAGAATTTTACAGAGTCTAAAAGATCAAATGGTCAAAATTGTGAGCCCGGCAAGCAGGCTTTGTAGATGGTAATAAGTTGATGCTATCTGTTGCCATTTGTTTTGTGGTGCAGAATGCAACAGCAGTGACATGTTAACAAGGGAAGCACGTTGCTTCCCAAAACTTTTACAAGACTTATTTTTCTTCATATTACATTTTTTTTAACGTACAGTGTAAACAATTATTCAGATAATAAATAATTACTGAATGGGGTTTGTGTAACAGAGTGTTTAAATGCGTTAGTGGCAGAGTGACAAAGGGAGAACAGTGGCAGAGCAACAGAGAGGGGGTCTGGCATGCATGCACAGCACAGCACAGCACTGGTAATTGACCAAAAAGCCTTTGAGTTTGACCCTCTAAAAGTGAAATGAGCTGGCGATACTGACGGATCAATCTGACCACGTGAATCCAAAACTAGACAAAACCCGTATCATCAAAACAAGTTAATATATGTATATATATAACTCCACACCACCAGTTCAGTTTGGGAGAAGATGGCTCAATAAAATTTGCTATTTGTGGGTACAGAAAATGGGGTGGCATTGGCATTAAGTAGTCATAATGAGGATTGAATCACTCTTCCCTCTGGAAGCAATCACGTGGCGTCTCTTTATTATGCAAATTTGCTTTGCTTTTGATTTTATGACTCTACTTTTGTTCAGTACTTAAATTGTTGGCCATAATTATTCACAATTGGCCTGTGATTCACTTGACTTTAACTCACTCAACCTATTCCTGGCTCAGCTGGCTGTCACCTTGGAGGATATATGGAGGGAGGGAAATGTTTTTGTCGTTTTGTTTTACAGAAAAAAGTTAAATATTTTTTGTCATTTATTATGTTATGACAATAACAGAGTAATTGTATACTTACATTTAATATCTATTCAACCTATTCCTGTCTGGCTGTGGCTGGCACCTCAGAGGATATATGCAGGGGAGGAGAGAGAGGGAGAGAGGGAAATGTTTTGACATTTATGCTATGAGAACAGTAATTTTTTTGGGGCATACATTTAGTATAATATCTAATTATTATTTACCCTAAAATTAATGGTTTGATAAAACAAAAATAAAATTATAACTTGGAGTGGTTAGAGAAGTGGAGGCAGTATACATAAAAGCCAGTCATATACAATCTTCCAGTATGATCTTAGAAAAAGAGGAATCATATAAGAAAATTTGATTGTACATAAAGTGCACATCTTTTAATCGTACCATTTTTTTTATATTTATTTTTCATATTTTTTCTCTTAAATGCGTAATATACGGTCAATTTTTATGAACTGATACTGGTTTAGTTGACAGGCAGCACAGGAGAGGGTAAGATTCAGGAAAGGACGAGAGAGTGAAAGAGTGCTTGAGGCAATGGACTTGGACATGGTTGTCACTCACGTGGGGAGACTAATGGGGTGTTGACACGTGGCTGATTCCTACAAAAGAAAGCAATGTCGAACATGGACTAGTCAAACACTATTTCAAAGGCTGCTTCCTGATTTTGGTCTCCCATTTTGTTAGCAACAACTTGCTTCCCATTGGCTCTCTTGCTCTCTAAATCCCCTTTTATTTCTTAATCATTTATCTGTGTCTTAAGCTCGTTCTTCAATGTCAGATCACTACAATACAAACAAACAAGAGCAAGGAAGGAAAAGAAGTCTCTAGCTAGCTACTAAGTAATTCTTCTGCAGTAAGCAAGTTAATTAAGATAATAAAATCTCCTCTTCCATATAGCTGTAATCTACTGTCATAAAATGCAAATATTGGACTTGATCCCTAGTGTAATAGATACTTCTTCGAAGTTTACTTGTTGAAGTGATCATTCAAATGAACATAGCTTCTATTATCATGTACTGTCACTGAGGTTCATGTACCTAGATGTTAAAAATAGGCAAACTCAAAGTTTACTTCTTCTTCTGATTCATTGGCGTAACTTTCAGTTGTCTAGTTTCTACTTTCTGCTAATTTGTCCATGGCCTGATATTTAGAGACCAATAACAACCTTAAGGTATCAAATCCTCTGAAACAAGGTCTTTAGCTTTCAGTAGCCAAGCTATTTGCGGCCAGCGTGATTGGTTTAATCATTTGTTGATCATGAGTTATGTTAACTACATGAATTGATTGGCAGATGCAAATAAAAGGAGTATAGCATAAAGGTAAGGAGATATAGTTTGGTTTTATTGGGATGTCAGAGACAGCATGTTACCTCATTGCACAGTATAGGCCAGTCAGGCTTGCAGGGGAACCATTTATGAATGGCTCAAACCAGGCCCAGAATCCAATATCCAGTTGTTAATGGCAAAGACAGCAATCTAATTAGTTTACAAATGTCAATCAAATTAAGCGTGTTTAGTTAGAGTTGAAATAAACAAAATTTGAAACAAAATTGCACAGCAGAAGAAGAAACCTGAAAATTGAATAAATGCATAGAGATGACATTTAAAGTTAAACTTGATACAACATTGTTAGCTTACAGTTTGTTTCTTTTGCCTCCAATAAAGCTCAATGTAGGTATAATATGCATTTATTCCAAAATTAAATCATGTAAAAACATAAGTCAAAATCTTGTACTCTGAAAAAATTACGAATTTCATTAGCAAAAGTAAGTTAAATGAAAAATTATTATAATAACAATTTATGAATTTATCAATTGTGAAAGGAGCTAGTCTAGTGACATTTTTAAGTAATACTAGCACTCCCTTCAGTTCTTATTATATAGAAAAATTTGAAGAAAAAAAATTGTCCTGAACACGAGGTAAAATTGGAGCAATTAATACTCTTTTTCTCCAATTTTACCCCTTGTTTATTGATTATTGTTTGAATTTCTAAGCAATAGTTTATTATGGTTATTAATTATAAATAAGGGTAAAATTGAAATGTTACATATTTTTAATAGTGTTAATGATATAACTATAATTTTTAACGAGTTCGAAGTTAACTGGAAGAAGTATATAAAGAGAAACAATAAACATCATTCATATTCAAAAAAACTAGTGAAGTTAGTTGTTTTTTTTGGCCAAAGTTAAGTTAGTTATTTGTGAGAAAAATTGTGTTAGGGGAAAAATATATGTGAAAGATAAAAAAAAATTGAGGCCATAGCTTTAAAGATTAATAAGAACTACTCAATTACTATTTTAGTATTGAAATGAGTATTGTTTATTATAAATTACCATCCATATAGATGACAGAGGTGAGCTGGACAAAAAAAATACCTCATTAGTCATTAGAGAAAAGCTATCTTTCGGTCCCCTTTTGGCCTTTGGGAGATTGAAGAGATCAGCAAGAGTGAAAAACATTTTAAAGAAGAAAGTGAGCAAAAATGAAGAGATAATTAAGGTGAAGAGAAGACACTGTTAATTAATCCCGAAAGTATGAATTACAATATATTATCCAAGCCTAATTACTCTGTCCAAGAAATCTAAAAAAAAAAAAAAAAGACACAGATACAGTGTATATATTGTAGTTATAGTATAAAAGTAGAGAACCCGCGAGCGTTCTTCACGGATATCAAAATCCGTATACACGGAGGATGGTACAACATGGATAGCATAAATCGCCTCAAGAAGCGATGCTTTCAGATTTCAAGAACTCACACGAGAGACATCAGATGAGATGAGACCGCTTTGTAAGTAAAAGAATATCATCTTATTAATTAGAATATATATTATGTTATCAGGTTATGTTCACAATATATATTGTTGAAACTTGGGGCCAGCTCTCCATTATGGTTTTCAAGATACCTTTTCTTGTAAACTGCATGCCTCTGAATCTGCTACGGAACCAGGTAGCGAGAATTGCTAACAGGGGCCCAATACTGAATGCAATTATTCTGGGGACCTCTAACTTTTGAAATTATTTCTAAGGACCTTGGTCCTTTGCCCAAAAGAAAAGGAAAGAGAAAAAAAAAATGTATACAAAGCAAATTTATAACTCAATTTAGGTTATTGCCTTGCCAGTTTGATAACTTCACTTACCTAAAATGTTTAGAAATTGGTTATTACCTAAAGTTCAGTTTGCAAACTTCAGTTTTTGCAAACACTAACTCATACACATTCTTAAAAAATGTGTTTATAATATTGTGGACTAAAGGGGCGTGGCCAGAAACAATCGTTTTTGAATGTTTTATATTTGGAGGTTTCATCTGCATTTGCAGTGAGGTTACATCCACCTCAATTACTTGCTGCCTTTCATGGATTGTTCAACAAGCATACCTCTTCACCTTGGATTTTTCCCCAACGCTTTACTCTTGCAAGTAGAAGCTGGTTGTTGTCTCATTATTCCTCCATATGGTGCATGTTTTGGTTCATCCATTTGTATTTATTAATTTTAATGAAAGGTAAGATTAAAAAGTCAAACATTTTGTACCAGTTCAAGGATATTAATTATCATTCTTTAAGAATCCTAAAAGTAGTTAATTTTATTCTATAATTAAGACCGGAAGAAGTGCTTTACAAATGTAGAATTGGGAGTACCGACCGTGCAATGAATTCAAATATTTAGGATAAAAGAAAACAAACTTCCAGAAAAATAATTAGTAAAATCGCTACATAATTATTCTTAAATTCTTTAATAACTACACAAACAAAATTTTCATAAAGAAACTTAATTTTACAATTTAGCACGATATGGTTAGACCTTGAAAAAACATATTTTTATTAGATATCTCGTTCAAACTCGTTTATGGTGATAGCAAAGCAAACTATCTCAAATTCTTAATAGATACAAAAACAGAGCAGTCACATAGAGCCAAATAAAAAATAATAATTCAAGTCACAGCATAATCACCTCCCTTCACTGATACAGCTATAAAGCATAAACTCATTAATATTACAGCAAAACTTAAGTAAAAGAACATTCACATAGATGTAACTAGTAACCATAGCTAGTCTTCCTCATCATCTTGATGAACTCATCGGCGTTAACCTCTCCATCATCTGCATAATTTAAATATATTCAAAATAACGAAAATATTCGTACTCACAAAGAAATGAAAAGTTGCAAACTAATGGGGCGTGACAATACATGCACAAAGTTTACTGGGCCCAGCAAACCGTGAAATTGAAATGTCAAAAATATCATGTCGATTCTTATAAGGAATCCATCATTCTACCATCATTCTACTGTCATGGATCCAACAAAGTGAAACTAGATAAATATCAGAATTAATTAAACAGGCCTTTAATTATAAGTCAGGCAACCATTTAAAGATAAAAGTAAGGCAATACTCCAATTTTTATGCCAAGCAATCATTAAAAGATCAATGCTTAATCCTTTATTGTTTCAACTTCATAGCTCACGTATGAATACACATGGAGGGTTTCAAACAAACGATCCTCAACTTTTATGGGAAAGAGCCAACAAATAGATACAAATCCATTTCAAGTGAATTAAAGGCCAGGAAGATCACTGATCCAAGGACGAAAGCATAATAGCTATGAATAATATTACTATTATTTTGACTCCGATTTGCCCTAGAGTGTTTCCTTCATATTATGCATATAAAATTTCGAAATGACAAATCAACATATATCCCTAATACAAACAAATGAGCACGCAGATTAGTGTTCTTTAATGCAGAAACAGCCAACAAAATTTCTAGTAATGTTTCCCCGACCATGAGAAGCACCCTGTCAGCATCATCTCAAATGCTAGAGTCTCAAAGTAGCAGATGCTGGAGAAGGTACAGTTCATGATAAACTTATTTAGAATAATAGAGGCATTTCCTAGTAAGATCCATTTCATGGCATAAACCATGACATGGTAGGAGCCGAAGAGCAATCAGATGAGACCAAACATTTCAAAGACTATGAATGCAGCAGCCGGTACATTGTATAATTGATATAGTATATGATCTCAATTTGCTTCATCATAACAAGCACTCGTTTAATAGATGACATGACAATCAACAGTTTTTCAGTAAACTTTCAAAATTAAAAACAAGACATTATTTATTTATATAACTTACGATCTCGGTCAGCTTCATCAATCATCTCCTGGATATCTCTGTCAGTAAAACTCTCACCCAGTTCAGCTGCAATGCGTTTAATGTCTTCTGCAGATATCTTTCCCTGCATTGATACTAAACAATGAGAATACAATAATGTGTAACAGAGTCAAACTTCACATTTTTCTTTTTTGAAAAAAACTTCACATTTTTATCTCCATCAATTATCTGAAAAGCTTTCAAGAGCTCGTCCCTTGTGTCCCTTTCTCCTATTTTGGCCGTCATCATATGCTCAAATTCTTTATAATCAATTGATCCACTGCCATCCTTGTCCACATCTGCTATCATTTGATTAATTTGCTGGAATGACACAACAGATCATCTTTCAAAGATGCTCGCATAAATCTAATAAGTAGAATTGAATCCCTAAAAGTCCAGATGATATTAATCAGGTAATTACCTCTTCTGTCATCTCAAACCCAAGGGCCCTGCCAGTACAAGATGTCTGTTATAGAAATTAAAGTCACTTAAGATGACAAAGCTTTAAAATCTTGACATCAAAACCATACCTCATGGCAACATTTAGCTCCTTGGCATCAATGGTGCCTAAAATATGCTAAAGTGTCAACAATGCAACCAAAAAAAAAAAAAAGTCATGGATAAACTCAGACATAAATATACTAAAATTTCCAAAACCTGAGCCATCAGTGTCAAATAATTCGAATGCTTCTTGAATCTCCTGCTTCTTCTGCTGAGTCAATCCATGGCGTCCTTTTCCTTTATTATGTCTCCCGAACTCCCCACTATATAGATTTGACTGAAACGAAATTGCATACCAAGAAAAGAGTCAATGGCTAATTGATCAGCGATAATCATCTTGTTTATTTATATGTGTATGCATGAAAAGTTTCCAATCTCAAAGCTATCTAAAAAAGTAGAGATTTATGTGGCAAAAATAAGATAAGTAGGAAATTGCATCACAAGAAAAGAGTCAATGGCTAATTGATTCCACCATCCCTTAACCCATCACTTTTTTTGTTTTTCTGCAACAATCAATGGCCCATTATTTAACCCAGTTTAGCAGAGTGCCATCTGAGGAAGCCAAACGTACAGTAGACTTGGAACTTATATTTTTAGTATACCAATTTTCCGTAAGTTAAAGAGTCCAACTAGGAATTGATGAATATAAGGTCCATTTTCCAAACCAATGAATGGGGTTAAGGCAGACAAAAGAACATAACCCACCAAGGAAACACGGCATTGTTCGAGAAACGTTAAATCGTAAAATTCATACACACAAGTCACCAAACCTCAGTCTTGAAGGGGTTATCATAGCTAGCAGAATAACAGGAAATTGGCGAATCCCCCCCCCCAGGGAGGTTGGGGGGGAGTATCAAAGAGAATCTGGTAAGAATATAAACCGGCAAAGATACAGATTCAACCGAATTTCAGAGGCAAAGGTGGGAATCGGCCACCCTGGCGCTGGTAAAGACTAAAGAGCCAATCAAAAAAATTCACGAGAGGGAGAGAAGCTTACCATTATTGCGCGCCGATTTGACCTGTTTCAGATTCGAAGATTGGGAGCGACGATGAGAAAACTTGCCAGGCAATCCTTCGGGAAGATTGGAAAAAGAAGCCGCTTTCCGTTTCTGCTCCCTCTTGCCTTTTTTTTTTTTTTTTGGGGGGGGGGGGGGGGAACATTTCTCCCCTCCCTATGAGATATAAATGACGCGTTTTTATTTTCCTATTAACAGTTAAGAAATCAAGTGTTTCCTCTCACTTGTCATTAGGAATTTTTTTTTCATTCAGTATTTTTTCTAATAAGTTTTCTCAATTTAACTTCTTACAAGTTGCATTATTATCAGCAACATTTTATCAATTTGCTATAATGAAATCAACATATTTTATCTATAAATAACAATTTCAATAGTGTATCGATGAATATAAAAGTAAAAAAAAAAATTAAACCGTTTATAAACTATGATATTATGATCAACTAGCACCAACTCCTCTCCATACATTGAACACAAAGCATTGAATTCAAAATAACATTTTCTTATAAACAAAATATAGCATAAAACTAAATAAAAAATTGCAGACAAGTAAGGGATCAAATGCTACAATATATTGTACTATGAAATGACCAATAAAGAGAATAAGAGACAACAACAAAACAATGCATACCCATTAATGATATAAAATAAAGGATTGACAATCGAAGAACTCAACCAACATGGAGGTAATCTCCAACAAAAATAAAAGCCTCAGAAATAAATCTACAACAAAAACTAATACATGAAAACATTGCATGGAAGTTTATTCAATCATCATCACCACTTGTAGCATGCAAATTTTGAAAAACTTCTCTATAGACAATGTTGGTTATTTTTAAGGCATGATTATCATCGCTATGCAATAATATTTTTAAACCATCCATACTTTGTACCCTAGATAGAGCAACATATAATTGACCAGTGGGTAAAAACAAGCTTTAGTAGATATACTCCAACATGATGCAAAGATTAACCTTGACTTTTGTTAATTATCATTGCAAATGACAGGGTGATTAGAAACTGTCTTCTTATCATACAAAAAGGTTACCTACTTTTAGAAGGATCTATGTTTGTATGATGTCTTAACACCTTGTGATTAAACACTAATCCATTCATTATGATAGCTTCAATCATAGATTTTCCAAGATAAGTTACACACAGTCTTGTCCCATTGCAAAGACTTGAAGATTGATCAATATTCCTTAATAGCATTATTGTGCTCCATGTAACATCCGAAATTTTAAACTCAAATTTATAAAAATAAAATAAAATAAAATATCTATAATTAAATTAAAATTTAGAATAATTTGATAGAGGTCAGAGTTTGAATTTTTCTAAACAAAAGTTTAGTTTTATTTGATTTTTAACTATGAAAAAAATTACCAAAGTTGACCCGGGCTTTTGTGCAATAATAAAAAATGTTGGGCCATTTCTTGTAATTTTCTCCAAACTTTTAGATCAGCTTTTATAAGGAAAAAGAGACGCAGAAATGCAGAGAAAGGAAAGAAGAACAAAACGCAGAGAGAGAGAGAGAGAGAGAGAGAGAAGAAGAGAAGAGAAAGGGAGGGAGTTAGGCTTGGATCTAGGAGTCTTTGTGACCGTTGCGAGCTCGGCTACACGATAGATAAACTCCCTACTTCAATCCTCTTCTCTTTCTCTTAATTTTCTTCAATTTTTGGAAGAGGAGATTTTTAGATTTTGATTCCAAAGGCTTTATTCTTGTAAGCTTTTATTTCTTTGGATCCTAAGGAGCATGTTTTGAGTTTCTATATAGTGATCTAATATTTTGAGTGGATAATTGGATGAAAAGAGGTGTTTTGAGCACAAAATAAATCCTGAGAAATTGGGTTTTTGCTCTTCAATGGTTTAAGCTTATTGATTTAGTTATAATTTTGCTATTTGAGCCCAATAAGATTTAAATTAAGGTTTGGTTTTCATTATAAGGGTTAATGGTGAAAGTTGGTGGCACTAAGTAAAGGTTTTTAATTGATTAAAAATTTTATATAAATTATAAATTTAGCCTAGTGATGGCTAATAAATGGTTTTGGTGGTTAAGTGATACTATGTGAATGGTTGGTTAAATATATGGACCATTAGGATGAATTATGACTCATAGACCCAAGTTGTGTGGTATGAGTTATAGTCTTCATTGATGCTATTTGTCATGATAAGTGATGTGGATCACTTATATGTTGTAGAAAATTGTTGGTGGAACTTATTGAGAAGTAAAGAACAAGCCGAGCCCTATTTTGTACAAGGGAAACCCTTTTGGTACCAAAAGGTTGAGGTAACAGGGAAATTTATATTTTTTATTACTTTGTTTTAGCTATTTTTGAATAAATAGTACTAGTTATCATGCATTACATGTTTTAAAAGATTAAATGTGCTTTATAAGGGTTATGGGGTACTACTTTGATTATAGTGCAAATATGTTTTCTAATTATTTAATAACAATGTTTTTATGGAAATGAGATTTATAAATATTATACTACTTTAGAGTGTTGAATAGTCAATGCTCAGGAAAGGTAGACAAGAGTAAAAGGCATGATCTCGGTGGAAGTTCACCAATGAGAAGGTGTGGATTTTTGATATTCTATGGCACACTGTCAGTACTCAGTGTTGTCTTACGTATTGTGGGCTCAGTGCACTAAAGTGGTTAGTGTATTGAGTATTCGACACCTCTCAGTGGGGGAGGAAATCCAACATATGAAGTGTGAGGTTGAGTGCCTAGGCCAAGGTAGCCCTCACATGGAAAGTAAGTTGGGTTGGCTCTGGGAGGGAGATAGCTTTAACTACTGAGGATTCACGTCGAAGGGGCATAGGAGGTTCGGTAGATTAGATCATGCCTTAGATTATGTTTTGTGCCTGTGGAGGTACAAGTAGGTATAAGGTTTACCTGTGAGTTAAAGAGTGCCAGGGGGCATTCTGTTGGTCATGAAAGGCCATACCGGCCTAGGTCATGCATTCATGCATTTTAAATGGCTAAATTATATACTATGTTGAATTTATTATTCATTTATTTGAGTATGGCTTACTTTGTAATAATCAATGTAGATTTTACTGTTACTGAGACTGTGGTTATCTCACCCCTTTCTTTTCAATATTCTAGGTCCAGGCGAAGGATCCAGTGGTGGACGGAGAAAGGAGCAAAGCTAGGGGTTTGCTTGTGATTTGTAAAGAACTGCAACCCCTTTCTTTTGAGCAAATATATTGTAATGTATTTAAAATTAGGGTGCCAATAGGATATAATTATGTATGTGTGTGTGAATATGTGTGGATTGTGTACTTGTGTATGAATTTTTGTCTGTTTGCAGACTTGTGGCTAGGAAACTTAGTTATGGTGTGTGGTTTTGATGGATTTACTTAGTAGACCAAGTTTCTATTACAAGCAGATCTTTATTTTGATATATATGTGATTTTATAAGCAAATGTAAAGTGGTTGCATTACAAATGGTGTGCTATGGGCAAACATACACCTTGGATAGAGAGAGTGGGTGTGTGGGCCCCACAAGGAGCTCTGAGCCAAGTGAAAATGTTTAGCATATGTATTTATATAAATACATGGTATTTGAATTGATTTGTGACCACTCTTGTATGATTTGTGCATTTTGGGGGTCTAGGGTCCATTTTGGGAAATGGCACCAGGGTGGTCAAATTTTGATGTATAGAGGTTTTCCATCATTTGAATGTTCTATCAGGTATTTTTAATCTTATTTGATGTGTCCAAAGTGTTTTCACAGGTTTGTGACCATTAGGATGAGATTTGGACAATTTTGAAAATGGTTTTTACCAAAAAGCTGCACTTTTGCATCCGGGTGTCCAAATCTTAATCCGACTGTTAGATTTCTCTAAAATTTGGGTCACAAGTAAAACCTTTTATAAGCTTCGTATGGGCTTTGGAATCACATCGATTGGATATTGGACGGAGAAACGACGCACTTCGGAATTTGGTCTGGAGTGCTGTCATGACAGCATTAAATTGCTGTCATGACAGCTACAGTATTGATGTTGTAACCTGCATAAAATTCAATTCATCTATTGGATCTTTTCAAAATTTAGTATGCTAATAGTATTCTTCAAAAGTGACGTGTGAGCTTTAAAATCACTTTGATCAGAGGTTGAATGACGAAACGGTGCCTCCCGGAAGTTGGCCCAGGAGGGCTGTCATGACAGCAATTTAATGCTGTCATGATAGCATCTTTTTATTTCACTTTTGTCTAGCTTGCTTCCGTGTGCTATAGGTAGAACCTATAAATTTTTTTAAAGGCTTTAAATGGTTTGTTTCCTAAGTTGGTTTTAGGATTAATTCCTTAACCACACTTAGTTTATTTGAATTGTGTGATTTTTGAATAACACTCGGGGCAAGTGTTACACTCCAAGTTTCAAACAGCTTATGTGGAGGCAACCAGAGCTATTAATAATGTTCAAGAATTCAGTTGTATAAATAATCAAATAAGTTACTGTTTTGGGTAGATTTGCAAACATAATCACATTAAAAATACTTAAAAGAATCACTAGGCAACATAGAATACATATGATCATTCAACTAATTCACACTTTCAATCATTGGTGCAAGAATTGTTATATCATTAAAGTAATCATAATTTGACAACTTCTCTAACATATCTAGGTATTTTAAAGAGATAATTGCACTAATAGGATCCTTATAATCAACTATCAATAATTCATGAAGGATCTCAATATCTACTATTCTATCATGCACCTATCCTAACTTATAATCACCTACATCCAACAGCTATTTGGGAAATTTATCTAACTTATCATGATGATAATATGATAAAGCACATGACAACCTTATATTCTTTGTTGGATTGAAAATTATGCAATGATTGTAAAGATATGGAGAACGAATGTAAGCACTAACATTGGTAGCCCTTGTACCTTTCGGAATTATAGGAATGATTTGTCAAAAATCACCACCAAGTATAATGCACTTACTACCAAAAATTTGATGAGAATACATTATATCCCTAAATGAACAATCTAGAGCCTCAGTACAATATCATTGAACCATTGGAGCTTCATCCCATATGCTTAATTTAGTGCATTAAATAAGTTTTGCCAATGGAGAATTCTGCATCATTGAACAAACATAATCTTCAACAAT